CACGAAATTAATTAAAAAAGCACAATTTTTAGAGAGAGAGAGAGAGAGAGAGAAAAACCATATTGAAGAAGAGACATTAGACAATTTAAAAAGACATTGTGGTTTGAAATGTTTGAAAATTGGAAAACCAAACAAAAAAAATGAGATGCTTACATAACTTCGTACCCTTAATTAATCCTCAAACCTCTCTTACTTTTTCAACTAATACCAAACAACGACACAACCCTTCCCCTTTTTCTCTTTGTCTCTTCTTCCTATACAAAAACATATAACAAATTAACTCGAGTTTTATCGAACGCCTTCTTTCCTCTATCAATCCAACGAAAACCTGTCTCCAACGCTCGGGGCCTTCTAAAAAACCTCGACTTGATTGAAGCAGTTTATGTTAACCCAATCATATTCTCGAAGACAACGATGTTGTAGCATAGCTTGTCATGTTATTTACAAACGCCAAAACATACCCATGTGGGATGGTCTCTTCTTGTGGGGGACGGATTGAAAGTTTCAAGCTTTTTCATCATATATTTCACCCATATACTCCTTCTATGTCTATGGATTAAGCGTTTGGATCGATGAGCTCTCTCGTAAACAAACAAGCATCTTTCATTTCAATTATTTTGTAAAAAATGTAATTCGTCGCAATAAAATTGTTTGATGGGATAGTTAACGACTTTTTCCATCTGCACATGTTGTTATTTGAAAAAACACGAACGGATTAAAATTGAAATTTCACTTCAGCTCCGTTCAACATTTAAGAACCAATTTAAAAGAGTCAAAAGAGAAGTTTAGTTTCAACAGACATGGGCTAACCACTACAACTGATTCTTTAATGAGTCCGACATAATATTAATTTTTAAATTAATTAGTAATTTGTTTAATAATTATGGTTGGTGATTAGCTTAATGATATTGTTGGTTCATGAACCATCACTCACAAATGTATGGAGGTTAGGAAGTTAGGAGTTGGAAGTTTTTCCATAATAATAATAATAATCATTTATTTTCTTTTCGGGATTTAGATAACCGAGTAAAAAAGGTGCATATGAATGAACTGATATCACATTCAATTGTGAGCGATTACGAGGATAGACCGACTAAGAGAAACTTAAAAGAATTGAAAGTTTATAAAATTTTAATGTGAATCTCTAACCTCTTGATATTTTAATCAATTGAGCTATGTTCAAGTTGACTGGTATATATAATGATAAACTACTTAGATATCAATTTATAAGGAACCAAATCGTCGTATAATAAAAGTCAACCCACGTCGTTTTAATGAGATTTTGAACGATAGAGCCGTGTGCAAATTGTTACATATTTTTTAATTATGAAAGCTAAATTATTATTGATTTACGATTTACGATGAATAAATAAAAATAATAATTAATGAGAGAAAATAATTGGTGAGAGAGAAAACATGGGTCCGCCAGCCAATGTTGGATTCTGCAAATGTTGTAGTAAGAAATAGGAATCTAGCGTTTTCGTTGGCACACTGTTTGGCGTCTGTGTATCGTCATTAGTTTCACGATTTTAAAACGTGTTGCTTAGAAGATGATTTCACACCTTTATAAGGAGCGCTTCGTTTCCCTCATCAACCGATGTGGGATCTCACGAGAGGTGGCGACCATTCTCAAGAACCAAAAAGTCTCTGGACACGCCTCCTAGGCTTACTACTCACCTCTGCTTGATCACAGATTCTCGACCCTGTTGTTGGCTTCCACTTCAGTTGACCTCATTAATCCCACATCGGTTGGAAGAAGGGAACAAAACATTCCTTAAACATGCGTGATTTTGAATAGGTCATAAAAGTCATAATTAACCTTCAAGCACGCGTGATTTTGGATAAGGAATCTACATATCTATATATTATCCATACTTTTTCTCTTTTAATATATTAAATATATTGGGTTCTTTACATTTTTACCATTATATTACTAAAACATTGTATAATCTTTTTTCTTTTTTTAATAGAAATGCATATAAAAGTTTATTAATTTAATTTTTTTACTTTTGTTAATATTATTTTAAAAAATATATATTTTGCAAATAATATATGTAATTATTATGAGTAAAAAGGTTATTTAATATAATTCATTTTACAAGATTGAATAGATTCACCCCAGGCCCAATGGGCTTTTGTCTTATGGGCCTCCCAAATTTGAACGACCCAAATTATAATTTTTATATTTTCTTTAAAAAATTACTTTATTTTATAATATAGTTTTTTAATATATATATATATATATATTTGGCTACTTGATTAAACGACGGTTTGTTTCGACACTAATGTAATGGAGATGTGACACGTAATATCGAATTTGAATTTAGTCAAAGTTCGATTTTATATTTTGATAACTAAAATTATTAATTCAAAAGTCGGGATTATTATATCTTGAAAATTTAATTTATTTTGATTATCTTAATCAAATTATAATTTCCATTTATTGATGGGTATAATGTCCTTTTAAGTCAATTAAATTGTAATATTGGTTTGTTGGATATAAATTAATTTAATTTGGATTTGGATTTGAGATGTTAGGTTTGGATTAATTGAATTTAATTAAAATTTGGACAACTCAGCTGCTTGACTTGTTCGTGATTTAACGCAATGCTTTTAAGAGTTGACTAATAGATGCTTTATTAACTTAATTGTTTAACTTAATTGTTTGGTTGCAATCGTGATCCCCTTTTGATATAAACAAATGTTCTCTTAATAATAATAATAATAATAATAATAATAATTGTTTTGGTTTTATATTTTTTTTAAATAATGTCTACTTTTTTACCATTTTGTATAAATTTTTCATTTTTCTTAAAAATATATATTTTAATTTTAATCTAAATTTCAAAAACTAAATTACTTTAAAACTATTTTTGTTAGTTTTCAAATTTTGACATAATTTTTTAATAGTTTGAAAAATAGGTGATAAGGCACAAGAAAAAAATAAAATAAAATAAAATAAAACAAATAGATATTTTACATATTAACCTAAATTAAATAAATCAGGTCAACTAACCCAAATCAATCTAACCTAAGCTCTAACCTATGAACATCTCTAGTGTTAGACTCCACATCGGTTGAAGAGTGAAACGAATCATTCTTTATAAGGTGAGGAAACATCTTCCTACTAGACGTATTTTGAAATTGTGAAACTGACGATGATACATAACGGGCTGAAGCAAACAACATATACTAGCAGTAGATTTGAGTTGTTACAAATAGTATCAGAGCCAGACACCGAATGGTGTGTCATCAAGGACATAAGCCCCAAAAGAGAATAGATTGTGAGATCTCACATCAAGTAGGGAGTGGAATGAAGCATTTCTAATAAGGGTGTAGAACCCTCTCCCTATCATACGCAAGGCCGACGGCGATACATAATGGATCAAAACGAACAATATTTGCTAGTAGTGGCCGATGAGTTTGAACTATTACGTCTAATGATACTAGTTGGATTGAAAATCCAATCGGGTCTTGAGTTGCATAGATTGGGGGACGAAGAGTTTCTGTTTCCTTCTCACAAACCTAGACCACATAAGTTATAGTCAAAATTTCCAAACTCTTGTTTTTTCTTCATCAATAACTATTATTCTCAAATACTAAGAATTTCTATATAACTGCTAAAAGTTCTTAATGGCTTGAAGTTGGTTGAGCTGAAAAGAGACTACAATTGTAGCAAGAACAAGCATATGATCCATACTTCTTAGGATTCTATAAATTCACAGCCAAAATGAACGCAGTCAACTATATCTAGGAAATTTAATGCAGTCAACTACACCTCTCCTAGATGTCAGTTAATTACCTTTCCCTTGTTCAAAGATTCTTCCTATCCCTCGGTCGTGATGTACGGCAGGTAGGAAGGGAACCACCAATTTGTATGAGTGTAAATATTTTCATCTCCTTCCTTTTTGTTCCTATTAAAAAGATTCCAAAGGTTGGATAATTAAAGTTCGGCAACGACTAATTTAGGGAATGATCATGGGCTTATAATCAAAGAATACTCTCTTTATTGGTGTGAGGTCTTGGTGTGAGATATTTTGGAGAAGCCCAAAGCAAAGCCACGAGAACTTATGCTCAAAGTGGACAATATCACACCATTGTGGAGAGTCAAGGGGGAAGATTGCAATTGAGAAGCTCTACAAAAATAAATCAAGATAATGAACAATTCCATAGCAGACAAAAATATACTGTTTTCCTTACCTTACATCTTCAGAGAAGGGCAATGAATGCAATATGGGTCTCATCATTGCTCCAAAAGAATCAACATAGTCCCACTGATTCAACAAGATAAGATAGAGTCAGTGGGTCGACACAATCAGAAAGTTCCATTAGCATTCATTGCAGCATTCAATAATTTTCATGAACTCTCACTTGACTGTCTGCCATAAAAGGTATTCATTAGAAAACCTTAGTTCTCATTGTCCTAAGACTATTTGCATTCCAATAATTACAGGTTACACATTTGGTACGAAGATGGTTGACCCATAAAAGCCAACCCCACAGAGCGCCCTGAGATTCAAGTGATGCAATGTATCTTATACATGCATGAATGCAATTAGGAGCAGGCAGCTTCTAGGGAAATATATAATTCTTATTTCAAGAATCAATAATGCAGACAGTTATATCAAGCAGTCACATGCATACTCTAACAACTACCCGACAACCATAACCAAATAACTGACAGGACTGGCAATGCCTAAATTATTATTTTAGCAATCAGTCATTAACTGGCAGGCTTGGCATTTTCTTCAAAATTCAAGTGCTCAAAGAAACCACATTACTACAAACCTTGTTTACCTTGGAAGAATCTGGTGAAATTTCACACTACTTTTGCTACTTAATGGACTTACCCCCTTTCTGATATGAATCCATAACTTGATTGCAAACCAGTCTTTTAGTTTCGTTGCCTGAAAAAAAATGTTATAGCCTGTGAAAGCAAAGGCTAACAATGATGCTAAAGATTAAAACATAGAAATGGTAAAAACAAAAAGAACACTCGGGTTGAAGTAGGATTTGAAGGAGTCAAGTCAAATAGACTGAATGTTTACAATATTACAGAGCATTCAAAACAACACAGTTTGACAACCAATAACTTTACAAACTTTCGAGAGTGTCTTGCAGAGGGACAGGAACTTGTCCACCGATCTACAGACTTGTTCAATAGTTTTTAAGTAGTTCAATTCACAAAATAGGACAACTGTTTAGACATCATCAAAGTAACATAAACATAATTTGGAAACAAAACATAATGTAACGAAGGGAAATGGACACAAGAACCTATCCCATCAAAGACTCACTCGTTCCTCGAACCACCTTCCAAAGCCACATATGATGTACTTTTAGTTTAGATTTATCTTGTTCTAACATTTGGATGGGTAGCATCAACTGTGGCATAGCGCTTAGCTAGTTCCTGTTCCGGCACTTCTCCACCGCCCTAGGAGCTGTAAAATTAAAATGAACACAAATGAGAACAAGTTCGAAATTCTATTGCCACGCAAATATAAAATAGTCAAAATGAACAATTTTTATATTTAAAATTCGAAGTCAGAACCAAGGATTGCATATAGTTTTACGTTTCAACAATTTCCTACACTATGCATTTTGTCCTATTAATGAGCGATGAAGAATAGCACGTAACAAGAGAAGTAATAATCAGCCAGTCCATAAAAGATCATCAAATCCTTCTTAGACGAAGAACGTATCACTGAACATTGGCAAATCTCCATTAGCCACAACATAAGTTTTTTAGTCTTCAATGAAATTATGCAAAAGAGTATCATTGCATGTATAGAGTTTTGTATTTTAATCCGATTATGCAGATGGAAGTGTGTGTCATAGCAAATGCTGCAGAACCTGATGTATTCAAGAACTCATAATATATGAATCAAAGTACTCACCCAGGCCAATTGCATCCGAGCTCTTCATAATCCTCAGCCTCTTACAAGAGTCGATGAACATCCTGGATAAGGGAATTTAGAATTAGAAATCAGATGTTTACTATTGTAATTTATCACAATTATATTATTATAATTGACCACGTATTTTGCTTTTATTCCAAGTAACAGATAATTTTATGAAGCTTCATCAATATCCAACTGCAAACATTTTGGTATTTGACTAAATGGCATCTTCGGGTGGTAGGAAACTTACCTACTACTGGAAATATGGAAATGGTAAATGCTCAATCATTAGAGATAAAATGTTCACAAAAACAGTCTCAGCTTAAGAGAACCTTTGAAAGAGGACTGTTGGCTCTCTTAATTATAGTCATGAGTTTACATAGAACAGGCAACATGTTTGCATGGCTTATACAGAGTTTGGTGGTTTTGATCAAGCTTGAAGCAAATAAAAGAGAGAAATGGTGAAGTGAAAGAAGGAAGACGAAGAATAAGAAACGAGGGAAGGGCTAAAATAAATGTTTCTGTCACTAGCAACCTTTACATTCATAAACATCTACTCACGCCTGTCTAAACAGTAGCTTCCTGCTTTTTACCAGATTTCTTGTAGTTTTTTTTTTTTTTAAAGAAAATGACCTTTATTGAATTAAGAATGGAAGAATGTATATCGGCATAAAAAAACAAGTCTACGCAGAAATCCCAAAACTCAAAAACTCAAGAAGGATTCCAATGCAAAAGAATTAAACAAAGCTGATAATTAAAAAAATTAAAATAAAAATAATATAAAAAAAACTCGATGGACAGAAATCCATTAGGAAGCATTAAACAAACATTTAACAACCTCCTCAATCCTCTTCCCAAGATCTCTTCACCCCTCCAAGATTCCTACTATTTGTCTCCCGCTAATTACCATAAAACAGCACCAAAAAAGAACAAGCGATGCAAGTTGTGACTACAAGCAATATGAGTAGTATTTCAACTTGCAGTATATAACCTAAATGAATATGAGTCATGATTGCACGTAAGAAAATAAAAATAAAAACAAAAACTACCAGATTCGAATGGTATAACTTACTCCCAGGGGACATCACCAACGAGCATCCAGTCACCATCTTTGTCCTCATATGTTAGAACATATTCTGAGCCATGAAGAAGATCTTTCAGCTTGCTCTCACTCATTTTCTCCATGCCCAGAGCTCCATGAGCTCCATATTGACCTGCTCAATACTGAAACAACAGTAACTAGATCCACGCAAACTAGACAGATAACTTTAAAAGATTAGTTGTAAACTTAACAATACTATTTTCGTCATGTGACAGTTTTTTTAATCGAGAAAGTTTCTAATAGCTCACCTATAGTAAAACAGCTGAACATTTTTTCAAGGGCAGAAGACAGCTTCTGGTATGCAGAGTAGTTCCTCAGATCTACCTTCCTCAGATAAGGAGCACCATCCATGCTAACTTTGACGAAGAGTGCACCAGGTATTGCCTTTCCATCAACTTCATCATTGTTCTTTGAAGTTGTAGCCAATGTGTTTTTTCTGAAAGATCTTATGGGCGGCCAACCGACAACCTGTGCCCTGAAAATGCAGCAGATAAGATACCATTTCTCGGAGTTGAGGGAAAACTTGTCGCCAACACTCCCGCTCTAACTTACTTAGAAACAGGTGCACTGGTGTTGTTATTTGCAGCCTCGCTTTGAGATGGCCTAGTTTCACTATTTTCTAGAGACCTCTCTTGTACAGCCTTTTGTGTAGTTGCCTCTTTCAATTTCCCCATTTCACTTCCAAGGTTCTCTAGCAAAGAACTAGCTTTCAAACCTATGTTAGCGTTATATTTTCCCTGCACCAGATTTAAATGGCTTCAGAGTCAAGACTCGAGACCAGACATTGAATACTACTGCAAGTCTTTCCAAAAACAAAAAAAAACAAAACAAAACAGAGGCAATTTCACCTCTGAGAATTCGTTCATAGCATCTGAAAACCCCCTTTTGTTGCCTGAGACCACAGCCTTATGTGGTGAAGAGTAGCGACCATCACCTGATGGGTGCAAAGGAAATAGTGTTTTTTCGTCAAGTTGAGAAGAACTACGAAAGCTGATATCTGGATCTCTCTCGGGGGATTCAGATCCAGGAATGCCTAGCCTCAATTCCGTAGCCTTGAGATTCAGCAAGTGTTTGTTCCCATTAGGCTTTGTGGCAGTCATACAGCTTTCCTCTGAAGAAGAAACAGATAATCCCATGTAATTACGCTCTTCAAATCCCAAATTGTTTTGACTGACACTCTCCATAGAGCTCGGGGAAGCCAACAGAGTGACATTGCTGCGACTTTCCTCCCCCTCCTCAACATTAAGTAGTGGTGGAGACATCAAAATTCCAGAAGGAAAACACCCCGATCTTATACCTGCATAAAACAGAACACTATGAATTTTCCAATTTCGATCAGAGAGCCAGACTGCATACACCCTTCTGTTCTGTCTACTTTGTAATTCATCCAGCTTACTAGACTATAAGGCACTAAAGCCATCCTAAGTATCTACAAGTTCACCAATTACTTTCTTCCATCCGTCCAAGAAGACTGCACCCACAAGGAAAAACAACGCGAGAAAGAGGGGAGAAAATGGAATTTTTCATCTTCATTAACCCAAAGATACTTCTCCAGAATAACTAGAAAAGAACAGTCTACAAAGCATTGCGCTCAGTACACTGAAACGTATCAGAACTTCACAAATAACAACATTTGAGACTCAAATCAAACTGCAAAAACCTGAATTATTTGCATAACTGAAAAGAATTAGGGAGCCATTGAAAACACCCACACACACACACACACACACACAAAATTAAAATAGAACTCCAGAAAGGAAAAAAAGAAAAAAGAAAAAAGAAAAAAAGAACAGTCTCGTAGCTTTTATGAGGCAGAGAATACAGAGTGCCCAAGCTAAAATAAATAAATCTGCGAACAGGAAGACTTATATAGACCATGTATACAGCGCTGGTATGAATGCATTCAATATACAGTGAAAACAAAGCCGAAATCAATCCAAAGATTAAAAAAAAAAAGTACATACAAAATTCATTTCAACAAAAAAGGAAATAATGGAATTCATAAACTCCTCGGCGCCTATTCACACGTTGAAAAAACGAAAGACAGACGTCGCAGATCTTAAATCCTAAAATTCTTCAGATAAAAGCAAAGTGAAAAAGTTAAGAAGAAGAAGATTCAATGGGGCAAGTCAAAACAACGCCGCAAAACAATGTAAGTTCATAAACAAATTCCCTCCAGCTTCTCGAATTTTCTCAGCTGGCAAACTAGAAGATTCATCCATTCATTGATTCATTCATTCATTCATAAACTCCCTAAGCTCAAAGAAGATACAAATAGGAAGAAAAAAAACAAGAAAAGTAAGATGAACACAAGCAAGAATCGAAGAATGAAGAGGAAATTGAGTAAGAAAACAGAATCAGGACGAACAAAGCTCAAACAAATTAGAAATGCAGCAAGAAACAGAAACAAAGCGCAAAATGAAAAGGATTATACCTGAATAAATCTGAAGATCAACAAAAAAAAATAGCAACAGAGAGAAGCTGAAGGGTATAGAGAGAAAGAGAGAGAAAACTAAACAAAAGCCTTTCAATGTCCACTTTTAAAACACACTCACAAATTACAAAATTACAAAATCCTCACTATAAAATTATTCTCCTTTTTCCATTTCTCTTTTTTCTTTTTTAAATAAATAAATAAATATATATATATATATATATATATATATATATTATCGTGCTTTTAAATTCTAATAATAATTCTAAATAATGAATGAAACCAAATCATAAATTTTTTAAATTGGATTATTTTGAATGGTTTATGTCATTTATTTGATCTTTTTAATTTTTAAAATATTTATTTTAAAATATTTAATTAATTTCTATATTTAGAGTTATTTTTTAGGAGTCTAAAAAAAAAGTTATTTTAGAAAAAAAAATGTCTAACCCAAATATTATATTATATTATATCTTCGCCCATTTTAATAATAATACTCTGTCCCGCCCAAGAATTTCCAGGGAACCGATTACCAACGGCTCAGATTCTCCGCGAATTTTAATCGAAGCCGTCAATTTTCCTTTTGTTGCATGTAATACGACGTCGTAGCCATGGCATGGATTTTCGTATCCAATCCTAATCAATGGGAGTGGAATTTTCTTAATTTTTTCCGCACCTTTTCCTATTATGTCCCACATTAATTTTACGTGAAATTACAGAAATCGCCCTTATAGTAAAGGGTTATTACAGTCATTTTAATTTTATCCTTTTTAAACTTTTAATTATTAAGTTTTTAATAAAATTAATGAAATGGAAACTGTGGAGGGAAAACGGCGCCGTGTTAGGAAAAGCCAAAAGCGGCACTGTGGGCACATGGAAACGTACTGTGGAATATGCCAAACAAACGGACAATACCAATCTTGCCCACAGTGGTAAACTTGTCATTTCAATGCCAATCAATCAATCACTAACTACGACATCTTCAGATCACAGCCCTCCATTGTCGTTTCTTTCTTCCAGATAACCCCGATAATCAAGCCTCTCTTGCTTTTTTGACCGTCCGATTCCTTCACCTCCTCTTGATCCAAGCATGTATGGACGATTCTGCCCCTACCACCCCTTAGTGCCCATATGCCCATCAAAAGTTAACGACAAAGTAATTTATGAATCTTTAACGGTATTATTAAAAAATTTGAAATTTTGAAATATAATTTTTAGACAAGATGGAAACTTCATTTTGTATTTTTTTTTATTAATTTAGTTTTATTTTTAGGTTAAATTTAAATATATATATATATATATATATATATTATTTATTTAATATGTTCTTACAAATTATTATTATTTTTAATTAATTTATCTACTATAGGTAAATTTGAATATTATATCTTATATATTTTTATTATATTATTATTATTATTATTATTTATTATATATAATAGAATAAGATCCTCTACTTTTCGTCCCCAGGGGACATAATGAGCATCTTTCCTTGTATGAAATTTGGACAATACCCGAAATGCCCCTTTCCCGATGATTCCACCAATTCCAAGTTGACATGCACCATGCATGACTTGGTAGAATGGATTCCAACCCAGATACTTTCACATGATGTGGGCCCACTTGTTCCTCCAAAGGGCATATATGGAAATTGACTTTTTTCTTAATTATTATTATTATTACTATTTATAGAGTCTGTATGTACTCGAGTAGCTACATAAATATAATAAAAATAGGTATAATTTATCCAATTTCACCAAATTAGGTTATATAACACATTTTTATGAAGAATGCTTTCATCCATGTGCGGTCCCACAATCTACTCTCTTGGAGACCCAGCATCAGCGTTGGCACACCGTCCAGTGTCAAACTCCTATATCAGTGGGGAATGTCGTCAGTTTCACGATTTTAAAACACGTGTTAGGGAGAGATTTTCACAGTTTTATAATAAATATTTTGTTCCCTTGTCCAATCAATGTGGGATCTCACACAACCGACTTTACAAGATAACCCAAATAGTATCGTACGGTCGTAGAGAGATGTATAAAAAACATGATGGGTCGGGGTGGAGTAGGGGAGGGGTATTTTAGGAATTGTAGGAAGATATATATAGATGAAATGATATTGGAATGGAAAGGAGGGAAGGGAGGGGGGTGAGGTGTAAAAGGGGAGGAGGGGACAGAGAAGAAGCAAAGGAAAAGCAATATGATGCATTTGGGGGACAAGAAAGTGGCTTTTAGTTTAACTTCTCCATCTCCACCCCTCCACGTCATTGCCCTTTACGACTACCCTTTTCATTTTATTTTATTTTATTTTATTAATTTAGGGATATTATTGAAATTATTTATTTTTAGAGAAGAGAGTGAGATACACGCGCTGATGGGAAAAGTGGGGAAAGTCCATGGGGGAGGATCATTAACGGCCACTCAGAGTCTTTGGTGCACGCTTTGGTGTCTTTTAAAATGGCTAAATTTTGCAATTCACGCTCCCATCATTTTTAATCCTTTATCATTACCGCCCTTGGGCTTCCCCTCTATTTTCGGCCCAATTCCACCTTTTTCTTATTATTTTATTTTTTTCATAATTAAATTTTAATAAAAATACTCCAACTTTATACTTTTATTTACAAATATATATATATATGACATACTCGTAAAATTTTAAATATAAAATTAAAAAATTAAAAATAAAATCAATCGTGAATATGTATGTAAATGAAAAGCATCTATCTGTATCTCATAAATTATCTTCAAATTTTAATATTTTTTTAATGTGCCAGTACTATTTTTTTTAATGAAGTTTTTAAAATGTTTAAGGGTATTAATGAAATTTTAAAATTTTAAAATATTTATTAAAGTGAAAAGAGTATTTTTAACCGTATCAATCAAAATTATTATTATTATTTTTTTCTTAAACTAGAAAGATATTTTAAATTTTTTTAAAAGTTTAAATGTATTATTGGAATTTTGGAGAAAAAAATAGAAATTTTATTTGATCCATATATGAACAAATTATAATTATTTCCGACAAAATTTCCATTCATACCCAAAACCAAATTGAAATTGGAAGGAAAGGAATACGAGCGTTTTGTCGGAGCACGTGCAAGGCCACGTGCGGAATCTGAATATTGAAAGCTACCAACCTCCCTCCTCTACAAGATGAGGAGGAGGAGGAAGAAGGGGACAAGAATTTCTTGATGCTCAAAAAGAAAGTTTGGTTTTTTGCTTGTGGGAACGAATCGGTATCTAATTCGTATTTAATCTTTGTTCCATAAATTCTAGCAGCTCGAGATTCTATTCTATTTTTTTTTCTCTCTCTCCCTCTCTTTAAAGGAAAAGGAAAAAATAATTATTAGATCGAGCATAATCCTCATTTCGTGTATCAAACTAAATAAATTCGAGTTTTTTTTTCTCACAGAAATGACAGTTTAGTATAAAACAGAAGAAAAATATGTTATTTGCTAAATGTTAATGATTCAAATAGCGATAGTATTATTACTGATTAGATGCAATGTATGTATGTCTAGTGATATCTGTTAAGGATTATTGGGAGTAAGTCCCACATTGGTTAATTTAGTAAAAGATCATAAGTTTATAAGTGAGGAATACTATTTCCATTGGAGTATGAGGTCTTTTGGGGAAGCTCAAAGTGGACAATATCATACTATTGTGGAGAGTCGTGATTTCTAACAGTGGCAAGGGGGATTGGGACTACATATAACCCGAGTCGTCACGTAAGAAGGAGACAAAAATTGGGTTTAGACGGAGTAGGGAGAAGAGAATGGGTGAAGAAGATGGTTGCAGGGTGGCATGATGATGATGATGGATGGTGTCATGATTTGAGTGTTCTCTTCTTACATTTTTGGTTCAAACCATTCAAACCTTCTTTCTTTCCTTATTATTGCTACTTTTCCTTTTGCCTTCTAATCATTATGTCCTTTCACGGGCCTTTAATCTCTCCTTTCCATATATTATATTTTAAAATCTTAAAATTCAACTTTAATTGTGTGTTAAATAAATCTATAAATTTTAAATATAAAAGTACTTTTAGTAGTAAATGGGAAGGAAAATATGAATAATTTCATGAACGAATTTGAGGAGAGAATAGGAAAGATTGGTGGATGGGCTCAATTCGGGTTTGGGCTTTCCCAAGCCCACTAACAAAAATTCGGCCCAAACATATTTAATGCAAAGGTTATCTACATCTTGTTTCAGATTTTGATTACTTGGTTGAGTTAATATTTATTTTTCTTAATTAATATTTTTTTAAAAGAGGATAAATATGAAAACATCATGATTTAGGGGGTAATTGTTTGGATTAATAATGTTAAATTCCATTATTTAGAAGCTCAAAACGTGAAGGCATCCTAGAAAATGTTTTAATGAAATATGAAATAAATAAAATTATTTGTCAAATTGACTCACCTCTTTTTTTTTTCTTCCCAGTACAATGAATTTAAAAAAATGAAAGTATGTCGGAGATTTTTTTTTAAAAAAAAAACTTAATTCATTTCACCATTTGAATTAAATTAAGAAAGAAGGGTTGGGAAAGGAAAATTGGGGAACTCATTAAACTACAAGATTTGATTACTAATTTCTAATTAATAAAATTACCACAATTTTTTTTACCAAAAAAAAAAAAAAAAAAAAATCTACAAGCAGCTTCCCCCATAACCTGCATTCCTAAATAAAGCTTCCTTCAGTTCTTCAGGCTTCAGTTCTGTTTTCTGCTTCATTTCCTATTTTCAAGTCAATTTTTTTTTACACAAATTAATTCTATTTTAGAATAAATAAAATATAATATTTTTATTGTCATTTTTTTTTTCAATAAATACAAAACATTGCGTAGATTATTATTCAAATAATAATAATAATAAACAAAGACCTTTTCTTTAAAATCAAGGATACTTCAAATTCAAATTTTAATATTCAAATAAAAATTTTAATTTCTATTTAGGTTTTTAAAACATTATACTTTGAATTTTGAATTTGAATTTGAATTTTTATTTGATCTTTAGGTCTTAATATTTTTCAGTTTTACCATCATGTTTCTACAAATGCTCAACTTTAATCTTTGCAATAAAATTTTAATTAATTAATTTAAAACA